GAGAGGAAGGAAGGTGAGGGACAAAAACCTACATATTGGGTACAATGTACACTGCTCAGGTGACAGGTTCACTAAAATCTCAGACTTTACCATTCTACAATTCATCCATGAAACCAAAAACCACTTTTACCCCCAAAATTATTGAAATAAAATATTTATTTCTTTATTTATTTTTAAGTGTACAAAATTTCAATCATGTAGAATGAATAAATTCTAGAGATATACAGCTAGGTCACTATAGTTAATGATACTGTATTGTACACTTGAAATTCGCTAAGAGAGTAGATTTTAAGTGTTCTCACCACAAAAAAAGGTAATTATGCAAAGAGAATGATATGCTAATTAGTTTGATTGTGGTAATAACTTCGCTGTGTATATCAAAACATTACAATGTTCATTTTAAATATACAAAACTTTAAAGATGAATTTGAAAAATAAAATACAATAAAATTACACCAATGAAACAGTGTGGCTTGTGATGAGGATTTACAATTATATTATGAAAAAAAACAGAGAGACCAGAAGCAAATTCACAAATACATAGTGACTGAATTTTAAAATAAAGTGAAGAAAAGATAGATTGTTTAAAAACACTCATAGGTAAATTTGAGATTCATACAGAAGACAATAAATACTAACCACCACTTCACTCAATACACTAAAATAAATTCCAAATAAATAATTTATTATTCAGATAATTATCTAAATAATAAATGTAACAGTAAAACTTCTAAAAGAGAATATAGAAAAATAAGTTCATGGAGTTTATGCAAATATTTCTTATATGGAACAAAATCAAAGTACTAACCCTGAAGAAATAGATTGATGAGTTAAATTACAACAAATATAAAAGCACTTATATCCAAAGCACTATTCAAGCCACACATTTAGAGAGTATAGTTATAACGCATGTAATTAACAATGAACTGTTGAGCAGACTATTTATTTTTAATTCCTTAGAAAAATATAATCCAATATAACCATTGGAAAAAAGTTTTGAATACGACTTCAGAAAAGAGGATATCTTTATGACCAACAAATTCATGAAAATATGCTCTAATTTGTTAGACATAAGAAAAAAAATTATCATGAGTGAACTCCTATTCACAATTGCCATGAAGAGAGTAAAATACCTAGGAATACAACTAACAAAGGATGTGAAGGACCTCTTCAAGGAAAAATACAAACCACTGCTCAAGGAAATAAGAGAGGACACAAACAGATGGAAAAACATTCCATGCTTATGGTTAAGAAGAATCAGTATCGTGAAAATGGCCATACTGCCCAAAGTAATTTATAGATTTGAGGCTATCCCCATCAAGCTACCATCGACCTTCTTCACAGAACTGGAAAAAAACACCTTAAACTTCATATGGAACCCAAAAAGAACCCGCATAGCCAAGACATTCCTAAGCAAAAGAGGGCAGAATGCTACCTGACTTCACACTATACTACATGGTGCTGGTACCAAAACAGAGATATAGACCAATGGAACAGAACAGAGGCCTCGGAAGTAATGCCACACATCTACAACCATCTGATCTTTGACAAACATGACAAAAACAGGCAATGGGGAAAGGATTCCCTGTCTAATAAATGGTGTTGGGAAAACTGGCTAGCCATGTGAGGAAAACTGAAACTGGACTCTTCCTTACACCTTATACAAAAATTAACTCCAGATGGATTAAAGATTTAGACATAAAACCTAACACCATAAAAACCCTAGAAGAAACCCTAGGCAATGCCATTCAGGACATAGGCATAAGCAAGGACTTCATGACTAAAACACCAAAAGCAATGGCAACAAAAGCCAAAATGGAAAAATGGGACCTAATTAAACTTAAGAGCTTCTGCATAGTTAAAGAAACAAGCATTAGAGTGAACTGACAACCAACAGAATGGGGAAAAGATTTTGCAATCTACCCATCTGACAAAGGGCTAATATCCACAATCTACAAAGAACTAAACTTTACAAGAAAAAAACCAAACAACCCCATCAAAAAGTGGATGAAGGATATGAACAGACACTTTGCAAAAGAAGACATTTATGCAGCCAACAAACATATGAAAAAATGCTCATCATTGGTCATTAGAGAAATGCAAATCAAAACCACATTGAGATACCATCTCATGCCAGTTAGAATGGTGATCATTAAAAAATATGGAGACAACAGATGCCAGAGAGGATGTGGAGAAATAGGAATGTTTTTACACTGTTGGTGAGGGTGTAAATTAGTTTAACCATCATGGAGGACAGTGTGGTGATTTCTCAAGGATCTAGAAATAGAAATACCATTTGACCCAGCAATCGCATTACTGGGTATATACCCAAAGGATTATAAATCAATCTATTATAAAGACACATGCACGTGTATGTTCATTGTGGCACTGTTCACAACAGAAAAGACCTGCAACCAACCCAAATGCCCATCAATGATAGACTGGATAAAGAAAATGTGGCACATATACATCATGGAATACTATGCAGCCATAAAAAAGGATGAGTTCGTGTCCTTTGCAGGGACATGGATGAATCTGGAAACCATTATTCTCAGCAAACTGACAGACCAGAAAACCAAACACCACATGTTCTCACTCATAGGTGGGTATTGAACAGTGAGAACACATGGACACAGGAAGGGGAACATCACACACTGGGGTCTGTTGGGAGGTGGGAGGGTAGGGAAGGGATAGCAGGGGGTGGGGAGATTGGGGAGGGATAACATTGGGAGAAATACCTAATGTAGGTGACAGGGGGATGGAGGCAGCAAACTACCATGGCCTGTGTATACCTATGTAACAATCCTGCAAGATCTGCACATGTACCACAGAACTTAAAGTATAATAAAAATATATTTTAAAAAAAGAAAATAAACAATTAGCACTATGCATTATCAGATGGGTTGAAATATTATGGACTGAAAATACCAAGTATTGGAAACGTATGTAGAACTGTAAAGATATGTGAATCTCATCTATACAAAAAAGCTAGAAAATATTACTGAAAGTAAATAAAAGGAAAAATTAATGAAGAAATACAACACTTGCATAGATTAGAAAATTCCAATTCTCCTTATATAAGTCTATATATTCCATGCAAAACTCATCAAAATTTCAAAAGGTTGGATGTGTGTGTAGGTGAATATGAATACACCCACAAAAGAATATGCTTTATTAAAGCATACATAAAAAGCCAAGGAAAAAGGACCAGAATGGCCAGGATCGCTCTAAGGAAAGTCAAATGAGCAGTTCTTACTCTCCTAGATATCAAAAATTAATATAAAGTTACAGTAACCAATATAATGCTATATTGGTACAGGAATTTAAAAAGACAAACATAATATGAATCCAGGTTAAAGCTCTGATGATAGTTCACTTAATAAAAAAAAAAAAAAACTTGCTTATCTTGTGATATACAAAGTTGAAAATCATAACTGGAATTATAACTGATCACTTTATACCAAGACATACTAAATTTCTAGAACTTTTATATGATTTCTTGAAAATGGCATTTTACCCATACAAATGTAACCTAGGGAAGGTTAAGCATCACTTGTTTGACACATTTTCATTCAACTTAACATATCAAATAAACTAAATTATTTTTACCAGTTTCCTTCACAAAATGAAAAAAAATCCACATCTTGGATATTTTTCAGGGATCGTCTGTAATATCTCAGTCAGTGATATTTTTCAGTGTCGTCTGTGATAGCTCTAACAATCCCCATAAGTAATCTGATTGTTAGAGATTGTCAAAATGTCAAAAGGTTTAAATACACGAATAAGCAGGATCACAAGCCTTTTCCACAAGCCTTCTGCGACTTCCTGTATCCTTAAGTTTTTGCTCTATATTTTTCTTCTTCCTCACTCTGGAACAACTAGTCATCTAACTTTAGGATAAATTTACTCTCTTTTTCCCTTAACAAAAACACATCCTTCATACCTCATATCTTTCCTTATCAAAGATATATCCTATTTTCCCTGAAAACTTCTGATGCAGAATTGTTTTCCTAATTATTGTCACATATTAATTGTAATTTTTAACCATTAGTAAGCTTTCTTTTATAGAGAAAATTAGGTAGATAATTGTGAATTGCCTGTTACATAGCAGCATTCTGTAGCAAGCTTGCAAATGTGATGAATATACCATTTCACAATTTTTAGACACATATGCTTCCTCATAGTATAATTTTTCAATGTGGCAGAAATTAACAGACTCAAATATATTTAGTCTCTTTATACAGTATAAAAGCAAGATGCCAAAAATATATAAACTTAAACTTGTGCTCAGTAATTGTTTCAGTATGTTATCTTATTTGGAAATATCTAGATATTCCATAAATATGCATCATTTAACTTAGTATAACTTAAGGTTTCAAGTTACCAAAAAGAAACTATTTTCAGGTAGACTTATTGCAACATTGAGCAAAGTTAGTCATTATCTCAGGTTAATTCTCCCTCAATTATTTTAACCTTATATGACAATTAAACCCAAGTAGAATATAAATGTGTTTCTATTATACTTAATGTTGATAACCCAGAACACATAGCTGTTTTTACTAAATTAACAATATTAAACTAATCTTATTTACTAAAGACTTGCCCAAGTCATATGAACTTGAAAGACATTTGAATTAGTTTTTAAATTTCCTTGAGTTTTAGGGATATTTAATTTATATAAGCACTCATTTACCTCTAAGTCAATTTGCATAGAACCCCTCTAAGAAATTCCATAAATTAATTTGATAATACCATTTGGGGGGGTAGAAAAATATCACATAAACATAACATACATACAGAAATATACAGACTGTAGAGATTTTAGTGCTTTCACTTTAAAAGTCTAGCCATGAGTTAGTAATACAAAATTCTCTGTTTTATATAAAGTAATTGCTTCTCATCCTCCTCTACTTTATGTTTCTATCCAAATTGTGTTTCTGGAAAATAGGACAATTTAAGGATATCTGTTCACCAATATTTGTAGCAGAAATTTTTAAGACTTTCTTTGTTGTCTTAGGGAAGTTGTGGGCTAAAATTTAAGTAAGTTATTAGGAAGCTGTCTGTATGTATCCAACACCCACCTGAGTGGACAAAACATCCAGTTTGTTTCCAAATAGTTATTGTTTTTTTGTTTTCAGCCTCTAATCATTGCTTTTGGGGATCCCTCAATCTCTTAAGGAGAGCCCCCAATGGAGGCCTAGGGGTCTAAAGTTCAAGTGTCTGTTGGGAGCTGAGGGGTTGACATGGGAAATGAAAAGCCTGGCAGAATGAACAGAGCGATGAAGGTGGGAGAGTTAAAAGGGGGACATATCAAAGGATTCACGGGAGCTGAAGGGAAGATCAAAAGCGGTTAAAGAACAAAGGAAAAATGGGAAGGGAGAGGCCAGTGTGGGGAGATCACAAGTTTCCCAAAGAGGACAATGAAGTTTCAAATTATTCTCTGCAAATTTATGCCAACATGAAGGAGGTGGACAGATTGGTAGAGCATATAGTCAGTAGGAGTTCAAGAAGAGAGTTTCAGCCAACTGAGAATTTTCCATGAGAGAGACAGGATAAAATAGAGAGAACAGGGAGGCCTCACAAAGAGCCAAGAAAAATTTCCCACTCAAGACTGAGAGCCAGGAAGAAAAACTACCAACCCAGGAAGTCAGGGATCAATCATCACTCAAGACAGAGAGAAAGAGCCAGGAAGAGAGACTTCTAGCCCAGCAGGTACCTTTCAAGCAAAGAAGCCTAGGGCTCTAACCCACCTTGTTTTACCTGGGACTAACATAGTTTCTTGTAAATATCTGCTTATAGCCCAACTTCTTGCAAACAAAGAAACTTGGGCCTCTCATTCAGCTTCTGTTGCCCTGAGACTCTAATCCAGCTTTTGTAGTATACTCAGAATCTAAAGAATCAAAATCTGTCCTTAGCTTCAGTGAACTGTCATCCAGAGCAATGGTTCAGGGATCTGACTCACCAATGGATTCTTGATCAGTCATTTGGGATTGAAGACAAAGGATTCAAAGGTACACATGTAAGGTCCTGGATGAGAGGTCAGGGTACAATGATGATGACTCTGATTCTGAGTCACAGGAACCATGGCTGTTTAAAGAAGAAAATATTTATGGCATTTGTTAAAGCAGACTTTATTTCAAGGGGGAATATCATGACAAATGTATGTTTCATGGCAATGGGATTTTACAACATATAAAAAAGAAAGTACTTCCAATTCCAGCACATAACTGCTGGGGGGGAAAAAAACCAAGAAGATATACAATTACCAAATAAGACTTATTCCAGAAAACAAGGTTTCTTCAACACATGAAAAAGTCAATCAATGTAATGCACCATGTTAAAGGAATAAAGGACAAAAACCTCATGATCATCCCAATAACCACAGAAAAAGCATTTGACAAAACCTGTGCCCTTTATTGATTGAAACACACACACACACACACACACACACACACACACACACACACACACACAGAGGATAAGATAGACACAGATGGAAATTTCCTCAATCTGATAAAAAGACACCTACAAAAAAACCTACAACTAACGCCATAATGGTGACAGCTGGATGCTTTTCCCTTAATATCAGGAAAAAAACAAGAATGTCTCTTTTCACTCCTTCTATTTATTGCTTTGGAAGTCTAGTGAGGGCAATTACACAAGAAAAAAATAAAAGGTATCAAGATTGGAAAGAAATTAGTAAAGCTATCTTTACTTGCAGATGATATGACCTTGTATACATAAAATACTGAGGAGTCTACTAAAAAAAAAATAAAAAGTATTAGAACTAAGGAACTAGCCAGGCGTGGTGGCTCACACCTGTAATCCCAACACTTTGGGAGGCTGAGGCAGGCAGATCACTTGAGGCCAGGAACTTAAGACCAAGCTGGCCAACATGGTAAAACCCTATCTTTACTAAAAAATATATAAATTAGTCAGGTGTGATGGCACACACCTGTAACCCCAGCTACTGGGGAGGCTGAGGCAGGAGAATTGCTTGAACTCAGGAGGTGGAGATTGCAGTGAGCCAAGATTGTGCCACTGCACTCCAGTCTGGGCAACAGAATGAGACCCTATCTCAAAAATGACAACAATAAAAAAGAACAAATAAACTAGTTCAGCAATGTTTGAGGATAATAGAATAAATATTAATAAATCAGTTGCATTTGTAAACATCAGTAATGTACAATTCAAATGTGAAATTAAGAAAATAATTTCATTTATAATAGCATCAAAAGGAAAGAAATACCTAAATTTAACCGAAAAAGTATGCGATGCTTAATTTTAGGAGTCAACTTGAATGGATTAAGGAATACCCAAATAGCTGGCAAAGCACTATTTCTGGATGTGTTATGAGGATGTTTCCAGAGGAGATTAGTGTGTAAGTCAGTGGATTCAGTGGGGAAGATCCATCCTCAATGTGGGTAAGCACCACCCAACTGGCTGGGGGACCTGACAGAACTAAAAGGAAGAAAGAAGGTCAATCCATTTTCTCTCCCATTCTCTCTCTCCCATTCTCTCTCTCTCTCTCTCTCTCTCTTTCTCTCACTCACTCACTACTGGAACTGAGATATCTTTCTTCTCCTGCCCTTGGACATTACAACTCCATCCTCTCCAGCTTTTGGACTCTATAACTTAGACTACCAGCCCTCTAGTTACTTCTTTGGCCATGAACTGAAAATTACACCATTGGCTTCCCTGATTCCAAGGCTTTTGGACTTGGACTGAGCCATGCTACCAGCATCCCAGGATGTCCAGCTTGCAGAGAGCTATCATAGGTCTTCTCAGCCTCCATAGCTGCATAAGCCATTTCTCCTAATAAATCCCTTCTCATATCTACATCTATAGCTATATCTATCTCTAGCTATATCTTCTATATCTATATCTAATAGAGATAGATATAGCTATAGATGTAGATATAAGAGTTCTCCAGAGTGATTCATTCTCTCTAGAGAACTCTAATAGAATGTCCAAAACTTGTACATTAAAAACTAAACAACATAATTAAAAGAAATTTTAAAAGATCCAAATAAGTGAAAGGACATCCCTGATTTATGGATCAAAAGACTTCATATTGTTAAGATGGCAATACTTAACTAACATTTGTTAGTTCACAATCATTTAATTCGCTCCCTCAACAAATATTTATGAAGCATTATCATGTACCAGTTGTGGTGCTAGGCCATAGAAAAACAATAACAAAAGAAAACACAGAAAAATTCCTGCCCTCAAAAAATGTAGATACTATTCCAGGAAATGCCATAAACAACATACATAGTGCATAGTAGATTCAGTGGCAATAAGGAATAAGTAGAAAAATAATATAGAAAAAAAGAAATAGGAAGAATGAATGATTAGAGTGGCTAAAGCAAGCCTTACTGATCAGGTGACATTTGAACAAAGACTTGAAGAAGCTGGAATTTACCATGCAGTGTCTAGAGGAACTGTATCCCAGGAAGAGGAAAAATAACATTAAAAACTCCTTCCAGTGTTTCCAGTCTCTCTTCAATAGCTAAGATCGAGCTTTGCACCATAATATAAGTAACATGTCCTTCACTGGAAGAGGAGAGGAAGAATCATTTAAGTTGCTACAACACACCAGGATGGCCAACTATGAGATGGCATGTCCATATCATAACCATAAACAGCCCTCAAGGTAAAATATCTTCTATATTGTGCTTGACAGAGAAACTGCTGCCCTACATTTCCTGAGACACCTAAACAGGTAGAGAATTTTTTACCTGTTACAAAAAAGCATTGTCTGCAACTGGATGACTCTGGTAGCTTAAAGTTTCTTCTTTTTCAGAAAAAAAAGAAGGAAAAACTCACTTTATAATGCCCACTCGCTGGGTGGTATGTGCCCTTTGAAGCAACACTGAACAAGTCTCTTCTTTTTTTCACAGGAGAATTCATCAGGCAACTGCAGACACTGGAATTATCAAGAGGTGCTAGCAGGTCTCCATCAGATAAATTGAGCAAGGCACATGGATATCCTGAGAGAATGATCTGTAAACTCTAGAATACAGGTTGACCATCACATCTTAGATAACCTTACCTCTGCATGAGAGACAGAGCTACCATCAGAATGTAAGAGGCAGCAAGGAGTTAGAACTGACAGAAGAGATTATATATTTCTTTTTAAACTAATGTATATCAGGGCATAATACAGTGCTCAATAAACACATTCTGAGGACAAACGAAGAAGATGGACAGATTAACAGATGGTATAGAAGTTTGCAGTTCAGACAATACGATGTACAATTGTTCTCTACTCCTCCCTGCTAAATACAACTGTAACCCCTAGAAATAATAGAAGAGGCACCAAAAGACAATTAACTCTGAAATGGGAAAAAAGGGAAAGTTAGACAGGTTAGAGACCACATTACTGGAGAAGCAATATAGTGTCAAGGCATCTTAGGACATTCACCTGTCACCCAACAGAAAAAGGTGACCCAGGCCTAAAGATTCCCAGTCTCAAACCTAGCAACAGATGGTGTCCAAGCCCCCCAGATATCCCAAAAATACCAGTTGGGTCTGGCAATAAAAATCTGTTGGAATCCCCACTGATAATCAGTAGCCAGGAAAAGTGCTCTCCTTTCCTTTTGGACCTGAGAATCCATGTAACCAAGAGACACTTGACATCCAGAGAACAGCAGCAAGAAATACTCCACCACAATCAGCATCACAACTTAGAAAAAATCTCTTTGTACCTCACAGTGAAGAGGGAAGAGACAATCCTTCTACACAGTCACCTGGCTCACCTGTGCTTTTGTTTCTGTTAGCCCTTAGACTCTCTTCTGCTATTAAGAGACCATGTATTTGGGAGACAACATCAAGGGGAATCTTTCCACAACAAGTGGCCTAGAAGCTTCTTTGTCCCCACAGACCAGAGACCCTCTTCCCCCAACTTACAGGTACCAGGTAGACTGGTCTGAGACAGTGCCAGCAGGACCCAGAGGGAGCCACAGCAGTACCAAATAACCCAAGAAGACCAAAACAGCTCTTCAACAGCTTTGGAAATTCAATGTAATTAGAACTACAACTCACAAAAATAAAACAGAATCTGTGTGCAACACCTAAACAGAGTGACCATCTGCTAAAATAAAAGATTTAAATAGGACCCAGAGTCTCCTAACATAATAGTAAAACTATCTAGCATGCAATTAAAAATCATCATGATACCAAGAACCAGAACAATCATACCATGAATGAGAAAAAACAATTCATTGATGCCAATACTGAGAGGAATCAGATGTTGGAATTATCTGACAAGGATATTAAAGAAGCCATCATAAAAATGTTTCAAAAAATAAAAATTTTTCTAACACAAATGAAGAAAAATAAATATTAGCAAAAAATGAGGTTATAAAAAATTGAATTTAAATTATGGAACTAGAAAATACAACAACACATGAAAAATTCAGTGTATGGGCTCAATAGTAGAGTGGAGATGACAGAGCATGAAATCAGGGAACTTCAGGGCAGATCGATAGAATTTATCCAATCTGAACAACAGACAGAAAATAGACTGAAAGAAAAGAACTAAGCCTTGTGAGAATAGGGCAATAACTAAAGATCCAGTATTCACATCACTGGTGTTCAAGGAGAGGAGAAAGAAAGTGGATCTTAAAGCATATTCAAACAAATAAAAACAAAACTTTCTAAAATTGGGTAAAGACATAAAATTAGCGATTAAGGAAGCTGAGTGAACCCCAAATAGGATAAATCTTTTTAAAAATCCATGTCAAGGTATATTTTAATTAAAATTTTGGAAACAAAGCAAAATTTGACAAATAAAACTTTAAAAGCAGCTGGGGAGAAATGACATATTATCTAGAAGGGAAAAAGACACATACTAAATAATTTTTCACCTGAAACTAAACTATGAAGGCTAGGACAGAAAGAGGAACGTTTTTCAAGTGCTAAAAAAAAAAGAAAAAAAGAACCATCAACTATAAACTCTATAGCCAGCAAAACAGTTCTTCACGAATAAAGGAGAAAGAAGACATTCTCAGATAAAGAAAAAAAAAGTTACTAGCAGACTTACCTATCCTTAAGGAGGTTTCTTCAAACAAAAAGCTATTGATAAAAGAAGAAAATCTTGGAGCATCAAGAAGGAAGAACAATGGAAAGAGTAGAAATGTGGGTACATAAAATAGACCATCCTTCTCTGCATAAATATTATAAATCATACTAGATGACCAAGAATATATATATAACACCATCTGATACTCAAGAAAAGTAGTAAAGAGACCTGAATGGAAATAAGATTTCTGCACTTTACTCAAAGTGGTAAAATGCTGATACTATTAAACTATGGTAAGTCATATATGCATACTGTAATACCCAAAGCAACCACTAAGAAAACTCCAAAGAGATATACTGGAAACTACAATAAATAAATCAAGATGAATTTCTAAAATACATTCAAGTAATCTACAGAAAAGAAAAAGGAGATAAAGGAACAAGAAACAGAGAAAACAAATAATAAAATGGCAGATGTAATTGTAATTACCATAAATGTAAATAGCCCAAATATGCCAATTAAAAGACAGACATTGTAAGGGAGGTTTAAAAGTATATATACATATACACATATAAAATACAATAAAATAGAAAATAAATAAAAGGATAATAAGAGAATATACTATGAAAAACCTTATGCTCATAAATTTGACAGCTTAGAAAAATTAGACCAATTCCTTAAAAACACAAACTACCCAAACTTAAGATTAAACAAGTAATCTGAATAAGGCCATAACAATTAAATAAAATGAATTCATAATTTAAAATATCCTTTAAAGATGTCTCCATGTCCAAATGGTTTCACTGGAGAATTCTGCCAAACATTTAAAGATATTATCAACAATTT